TTTCCCCGCCCACGAGCCCGGGGAAAAGAGAAAATGAAACAGGCAGCTGAAGCTCTGGGAGCCAAAAGCTCATCTCTTCCTTGCGAGAGGAAAAGAGGAGGAGGAAGAGGGGGAGGGCTGGGGGCTCGGTCCAGCCATGCAGCACTTGGCTACTGCTGGAGGGTGTGGCTGTGCCTTCGGCCCTAATCTTGAACGCCAGTCCCCGGGGCCACCGAGTGAAATGCTCCCCCCACAAGGCGAGGGAGCCATGGTGGCATTTTCTGGGCACCAGTAAGTCCCATTTTGCTACCCTTGTCTACCCAGACAACGTCTGGCCCCTCCCTCCGGACCACCTCACACAAAGGTAAACAAAAGTTAGTTCCTCTTTGGCAGCCCTGCCTCGGCCTGCCAGGGAGGAGGGCTGCACCACATGCCTGACAACCGTCTGCCCTCCCCCCACACACCAGCCCCAGATGCCTCCACGGGAGCCTGAGAACTGTCTCTGGTTCCAGCGGGCAAGTGGACCCCCACCCCGGAGTGGGCCAGGCCCTGGGAGGGCAGGAGCGTCCACAGGTGTTACTCACAAAGCCAGGAAGCGCCCGGCATTGAGCACAGGTGTCATCCATGGTGTATTATTCACCCTCGCTCAGAGGGAGGTAGGGATCATTGTCTCGAGATGATGAAAACCCAGGCCCAAATTCAGCAACTGGTGTTTGGCAAACACCCAGTTGCCAACTCCCAGCCAGTGCTCTTCCTACTGTGGTCATGCGTGCCTCCCCCACCAACACCTAATAGGTTCCGCAAGCACTTCTGCAGCCGTGAGCCCTAGAGGTGAGCTTGGCTCCCCAGCGGCCCACCATAGGCCATCCGCCCCGTTATTCTTGCTGCACCTTGAAGGGGGGAGAGCTGAATAAAAGGAATTTGGAGGAGAGAGAGGAGTCTTACCACCGGCTTCACAGAGGGAAAAGGCAACCCAGGGCAGACCCTGGATCTCAAGGCACCATGCCTCCTACCACACTGCTCCTGACTCAGGGCCACCACCCTTCACACACATGCCCCCTCCATGCAAGGGTGGGGAATCTGGTGTCCGTCAGCCAGGCTGGGTCCTGGTTGGTCAGTCAATGGTAGGTAGCTAGGTTGCTGGGGCCCCGGGAGAGAGGAAGGGTGCTGTACTCTGTAAGTAAGGAGGGTTTTGGAGAGGAGCCTGCTTTCCTTGTTATGCTCCCCCTGCCCCCCAACCCACCCCTCCGATTCCCAGTGCTCAGACTTGTCCCAGCAGAGATGCAGTGATGCCCAACACATACATGCATGTGCCCCTAACTGGGGAGGTGTGCCCCCAGGCCGAGATGCCAAGGGCTCCTTTTAAGCAGCCGCTATAAGGTGAGGTTCAGAGCAGCTCAAGGTGAGGTTCTGAACTTGTAGAGGAGAAAATGGTGACACAAAGGCTGAGGCGTCTAGAGATTACACGGACCCACTATGCCCGCCGACTCCACCCTCTCTCATTCCTGCTCCTGTGATGTCGAGGAACTTCTCCAAGAAATCCAGGGGGCCCCAGGCCCATGGGCTTCCCCACTGTAAGAGCTAACACATACAGTGCTTGTTATGCACCAGGCACTTTTTAGAGCATTTTTATGTGTTCTAAATCTTCTGATCCTCAAAAAAAGCTGAATGAAGTAGGTAGTATCATCTCCAACTTACAGATAATGCAAGGGGCAGGTTAAATCACTTGCCCAAGGTTATACAACCAGCAAGTGGCAGGGCCGGGATTCAAACCCAGGCAACCTAGCTCCCAACAAGTCTGTGTTCTTAACCATTCTGGGATAGTTGCTACCTGCTGGAGGAATGAGACCTTGGTCCCTGTGACCAAGCCTCCGTCTTCCCTTCTGTAGCAACCCACGGATTCTCTCTGGTGGAATCACTACCAGTGCTTCCTCACCCAAACAGGCCACAGCTAGAGGGGAGCAAAGCAGAAATGCCTGGTGTCCCCCCTTAAGATTCACTCTCTGGAAGAGTGGCCCGTTCTGCTGCCCTGGGCTGGAGGCTGCACCTCACTCAGCCCTGCACAGAGTCTGGGCAGCTGGACCCTCAGAAACACACTCTGAGGCCGGGCAGCGAGGACACAGCTGTCGGGCATCTCTGAGGTGGGTCTCAGCTGCCAGGGCTGTGGAGCAAGGCCGCTGGAGGTCCTGCCAACTCTTACCACTGCCCATGGGGGTGAGTCTCTTCCAGTGGGGGAGTGTGGTGAGGGGCTCCTCCCTGGCTCGGTTGGAGCTAGCCTGCTGTGGCGTGCATACCCGGGCTTCCACCCATCTGGTGTCTCCTGGCTGAGCCTGCCAGCCTGAGAGGTCAGCATGGACAGTAGGTAATCTCCTTCCCTATCCCCCGTTCCCAGCCCTCAAAATGTGCTGGCCTGCAGCTGCAGCAATGAGGAAGTACAGGATGTCCTGAGCAGCCGCTGAGCCCCCTGCCCTACCCCTCCCCACCCCAACCTTTCCATGACCCCAGAGGCAGGGCAGGCGGGACCGAGGGGCGGGGTTTGAGCATTAACAGCCGGAAAACTATGAAGCACATCAATGCCAGTTCCCAGCTCTGAGAAAGGAGGTTGTGGCAAAAACAGAGAACAGGGGTAGACGGACGGGGCTAGTGACAGGGTGAGAGTTACAGTCTGGCAGACACACAAGGAAAGGGAATCAGACACAGCAAGACAGAGCAACGGAGAGATGGCGTTAGAGAGAAATTCCAAGTCAAAAATACACATCACTCACCCAGACACTCACCAGCATACAGCCGAAGGAAGGCTTCCAAGTTTAGAGAGGAGGGCAGAGGTGGAAAAAGGGGCCAGGCTCAGGGCCAGAGGCAGGAACTGGGCTGGGGGAGAGTGAACTGCCCCAGGAAAGGCTCAGACAAAAGATCCCAGCAGGGGCAGCGAGATCCCCCCACCTTTTGCTCTTAGGGTGGGGAGAGAGATTCTAGAACCTCCTTCCCCCAGCAGCCAGGACAACCCCAGCTGCTGGAAGTCACTGGACACTGCTTCAGGCCCATGCCTCGGCTCTCTGGGACCCCCCCCCCCCGCCCTGTCCCTACTCTCTTTGCTCCAGTTTCTCTGTCCCTCAAAAAAAAAAAAAAAAAAAAAAGCTAAACCTTGAGGAAGAAAATAGAAGGAAGCTTAAGGGAAAGAGTCCATGACTATGTGTGCATCTGGGGATGAGCCTGACAGCACAGTTACAGTGTGTTTGCTTCTGGGGGTGTCTAGACGCCACGGTTGGTGTGGACCTGAGCCTTGTGAATGCCTTCTGCACCTGAGTCCCTGGGACTGTGTGCACATGCGTGCACCTGTGACTGGAGTTCCCACAGTCAATCAATTAACAAGTATTTACAGAACACTTCCTGTGCTGGGCTCTGGGCGGGATCCCGAGCTCCTGGAGTCATCCCGCCAGGTCTCACGCTCACTATCTCGGACGGTGGGCTGACAGGCGATAGAGACCTAGAACGTTATCACGAATGCATTCCTTGCACCGTGAGGCAGAAAAGTCCTTTCACGCAAACAAATTTCATTTTGTTGGGAGCAGGGGTTTTGTTGTAAACAGAACCCTCAGAGATCCACAGTAGGAGTCCAAGAAAATACTTGTTGCTACATTGTGTATCCATGTGTTGATGTGTAACCACGTTTGGCGTTTGACTGAGTGACAGCGATAATGCCTGTGTGACTGGGCTCATGCGAGCACGTGTGTGCCTGAGTGACAGGGTCTTTTGTAACGTGTGGCTGCGTGCAATTGCCCTGTGTTCATGCATGCGTGCGAGAGAGACTTTTTTTTATGTGGGTGACAGAGACTCCTCCTTGCCCCCGTGTGTGACAGCATCTCCGTGTGACCCTGTGCGTGAGTACGTGCATGGGTCCGTCTCCCGTGGGTGTGTCCCACCCCTCTGAGCTCCCCAGTGCAGCAGCAGCCTGCCTTTTCCCTTGTCCCCATGTGGGTGTGTCCAGCAGCTCCTGTCCTTGAGTCTGCCTGGGTGTCCCTGGGCGTGCATGTGGCTGTCTGTGCGGGCATATCTCAGCGTCTGCATGTCACATTTGCCCCCCCCCTCGCCTTGGACAACAGCCCTGTTCATTCCGTCCCCCTCCTAGGGCCAGAGCCATCATTGTGAGGTGGGTTCCCATCCCACTGGCTTTCCTACAGGGACCTCCACCCTGGAAATGGTGGCTCCCTCCATTGCCCGCCAGCCCCAGGCCTTTCTTTCACACCGGACAAGGGAGGGCCCCAGGCAGAGAAGGGGCACCGGAGGAGACACGTTGCAAGGGGAGGGGAAAAAAGGGGGGGCACGCACAACACAGGTCCATTCCTCCCTCTTTTCTCCAACCACCCTAGCTTGCAATTCCCCTAATCATCTTGGGACCCTCAAATACACTCCCCCACCCCCAGCCACGTTTTTTGCAATTAGGAGTGTTGCACCCGGAGAGCCATGCTCAGCCGGGGAGGCGGGTGAAGTGGGGAGGGGGGACTTCCCTCTCCCTCTCCCGGGCCCGTGCAAGCTCACCAACCCACCCCACTATTACTCCCTCCGCAACCGGAGGCAGCTTTGCAAAGGCCACTCGGCCTCCGAGGCTAGGGGTGGGGGCCGAGGGGGGGGCAGGCCTCCGGCGCACCGTAAACAAACCGCGGCGCGGCGGGCGGGGGCGCTCGGGCGGCCGGCAGCGGGGCCGGGGCCGGGCCCGGGAATGCGCAGCAGACGGGCCGGACAGAGGCCAGGCGGGCCCTCGAGGGGGAGGCCTGGACGCCATCTCCGCGGGCAAATCCCGGGGCCCACCGACCTCCTAGCAGCACCTCCCTTCCCAAGGGCGTAAGTTGCAAGCTCCCGGGCTGTGACAGGGTCACCGGGGCGTCGGGGCAGGCGGAGGCTGGCGGCGGGTACCCCCCGGGCGCCCCCAGATCGCCGGGGAGCTGGCCACAGAGCCCCGCGGCTTTGCATAATCAATCGCGAGGTATTTGCATATTAATGCCCCCTCGCTCCCTCCTCCTTACCTCGGCGTGGCGCGCTGGACCGGGCTGGGCAGCGACGCGGGGTCTCAGCGCCCCGTGCGGGGGGCGTCCATCGGGGGCCGGTAGGGCCCGGGCCGCCCGCCTCCTGCGCCCGGGTGTTGAGTGCGAGTGAGCGCGGGGGGGCGGGGGGCGAGTGTGGCGGCCCCGGGCCTTTTCGGCAAAAGGGGGGGCCGTTTTGGCTCCTCCCTTCCCGCCCGCTCCGGGCTGGGGGTTTTGGTTCGGGGGCGGGGCCGGGTTTCGGGGGTGGCTCCCTTGCAAGGCCGGCCTCGCCGGCGGCCGGGCCCGGGCCCCCACGCTCCACTGGCGGGC